AAAAAAAAAAAAACACTCAAAAATTTTTTTCAACTCCAAAAGCATTGTGAAGCTAAGCTACATTTTGCTGAAGACTCTTTCTCAAAATCCTTTAACTACATCTGTTCTTTCCCCAAAATTCCTCTCTCTACTACAGTGGCCACATTTCTTTCTCTTTCTTCTTTCCATCAATTTTTCTGATCTCTTCTTCCATACCCTCTTAAACTCCTATGTGTTTGTATCTAATGAAAAAAAAAAAAATGTCCAGGAATAGGCCAAAACATATTCAAACAAAGACTCACTTCAAAACAGGAATTTTTAATACAGTATTTTACTCCCAATTCCTCTCATTTCTAATAACTCCATAATCTCCAAATTCTATCAGTTCAATGAATGATTTCACAAAATACCTTTCTTTCCTCAGTTTTCTCCCTTACCCTGCTCCAAAGCCTCTACCATATGGAGCCTTATTAATGGATCTGATATGTAATGAAAATAATTTTAGGAGCCTCCCTGGTGGCACAAGGGATTAAATAAAGCACAACACTATGAAGCTAATCACAGCCACTGCAGCATGTGCTCCATCCCCGGCCAGGAAGGTGAGCCACATGGCAGAGCAGACCTCTCCGCCTCTGCTCCCCTCAGCAGTGTATTTCAGTAGATATGCCGGTTCTGCTTCCTACCCTGTCTTGGTGAATCCTCTCCCCACACCTCTGGCCTGTACCCTAGCTCTTGTATGCATAAACAAATAAACCTTTAAAAAAAAAAAAAAAGAAGAGAATTCCACATGTTTCAGATTCTATTTAGTGTAATATCCAAGTCCAAGAATAAAGAATGTATTTCTCATGCAAATATATTTAAAAGCACGCATCTCAAACCCACTTTCCCAAAGTGTGATTTTGATTTGGATCACTTGACAATGAAAAGAATAGTATAGTTTTGGCCCAATGGGTTTCTTAATGTATTCACAGTCCTTGATTTTTTATCAATAAGCAGTGCACAACTTAACTTGCCAGTTTTATAGCCACTGACCTGTGTACTCATCTACACAATTAAATTTAGAATCTAAATTACCATCAAACTATCACTGATAATCATTTGCCCAGAATCAGCGATTTAGTGTGACAACACCATTTTTTGAACTTCAGATACAATTGTAATTGTACGATGAATTTCTCTTGAAAAAGAAAAAAAAATGATATTCCATAAAGAATAACAAACTACTAAAGACAACAAAGGTAAAATTCAAACTATTCATTAGGAAAAACAGCTCTAAATTTAGTGCCATAAATCCTGCAAGAAAAGCCCTCACACCACCATTCACAAGTCTCAGTTCAAGCAATTTATTTTTGGCAAGCCAAATCACAGCTGTCAACGCTGGGGTTTTTTCCACCCCCAAATTACATAAAGTATTTTGAAAAAAATGTAGATACCTTTAAATTGGGGGTAAGTTACAAATGCCGTGTGTTATAAATGCTTTTTTTTTTTTAAGTCACACGGAAAAGGTTAAAAAAAAAAAAAGGCAAACAAACAAACCCTGGAAGATGCAGCAGAGCCCCCTTGCTCCCGAAATAAAACTCCTGGTGGCTGTAACAGCAGCGGCAGCGCTACTCCCGACAGAAGTTTTCAGCTGTCACTTCTAACAGCTGAGCGCTTCCTAGGAAAGAAGCGACAGGCCGAGAAGAGAGGTGGTTGTGGGAAGTCTGACGATTTAATACTTGAAACCTTACACTCGAAGGGAAACCTTTCCGCACTTCACCTGCACTTACGGGACGCCCAGCAAGCGCAGTCCCCCTCCCCCAGCACACGCTTACACCACTCGAGCCCAGCTACACTCAAGTCCGACAGCTCGAGAACTGACCACGCGCCTTTCCCGCTCCCTCCATAAGCAGGTTGCTCCTGGCTACGCAGATCTGGAGTTAGGGGTTCAACTTGCACCTGCAAGTCCCGCGGCGGCCTCACACCTAGGGTCAGGTCCGCCCCGCCCGCTCGCAAGTGTCTGGCAGCGCGGCGCCTCAGCTCCCGCAGATAACTACACGCCTCCCGGGGTCTCCGCGCCCTCGGACGCGCTGTGCTTACAGGGCCCGCACCACCGCCAGGGCCCTGTCACCTGGGGCCCCCCCGGGACCCCGGGCCTCACCCCCTCCTCCAGCTCATCCTCAGAGCCCGCGTCCTCTGGCTGGTCCAGGTCTATGTCAAACACGCCTGCCATGTCCTCAGCTTCCCTGTCTCGGAAGTCCGGCGCTGGGTTAAAGCCGTCCCGCCTCCGTCGTCGCCTCATGGGCCCGGACCCGCCGCAGACACCGCCGCCGCTGCCGCCATCATCTGCTGCTTGGATTCAGTGCGTCTGCGCCTAGGCCCTGGACTGGCTCCTCAAGCTCAGCGCTGGAGCATGCGTACAGGCTTCTGTGAAGCTGAGCTGTGGGCAATGAACATGCGTAGTACTACCGCCAGGACCCAGTTTCTGGCAGGAACATGCGCAGAACCCCGGTCGAAGCGTTGGTGATGATTAGAGCATGCGTACTGTCAGCTACAGCGCTTGATGAACTGGTGAGCATGCGTGCCGTGTCTGAAATTGATAAATTGAAATTGAACATGCGTAATTAACCTCTCTGAAAAGGAAAAAAAAAAGCACACACCAAAACTTCGCACGTGGAACATGCGCATTCGTTCTCCGTTGCCTTTTTCTTCGTTTTTAAAGTGAGCATGCGCGTAACGATGGCGTTGACGCTCTGAAGTTTGAACCAGACCGAAACGGCGGGTCGTGGGGCTGTCAGTGAGTTGTATTTATGGAGAGTCCGGGTGTAGGTGGGGAAAAAGAATTTTGTCTTTGGTGTTTTCTCGTTCAACGGCTTCCCAGAAGTCACATTACTTTTCATAACTTCAGTTTTCTTATCTGTAAAGTAAAAATAATGATATCTATTTTGCAGAGTTGTTTGAAAAGTTTAAATACAGTCTGTCCATTGTTTTTTCAGTGCTGCACAGACCAAGTGTGGGGTCTTTATCACTGTTAAAAAGAAAACTTTTTCTCTGATCTTTTTGCAAGCTTTAACTACCTGAGCTAAACAAAACTTTGTTGTTGTCACTGTAGTTATCAGGACAGAAAAGTAATGGTGAAGAGATAGTCATTAAGAAGACGAAAATTCATGTTAATTAAACGTACAATTATTGAACTAACCTCTAAATTCTATGTATCCATGTGATTTGTGGTATATACTACTAGTTACTTACTAGCATACATTTTGTTTTGTTTTAAATGATGGGATAATTGACCTGTATGTGAATGAATTTGGGTGCAATAAGTACCAAATCCCAAAATCTCATTGAGAAAGAGAACAAATACTTGAATGAGTGTATTGTTTTCTTAGATAACACAGCTACTTCACCTATAGCATGATATATGTGGCATTTAAAGTTTATTTTTTGAACATCAAAGTAAGGAAAAACAACTAAAAACCAAAACTTGTATTGATATATATTAATTCATGGAATTTCAATTGCTCTTTTTTTAGTAATATGGTTTATCAGTTGCTATATTTTTCTATTACAGGTTGCCCATGTTTTTTAGGAACTAGGTTTAAGAACTCAGCATGTCAATTATAACACTGCAACTTGGTCAGTGTGGCAATCAGATTGGTTTTGAAGTGTTTGATGCTTTATTTCGTGACTCACACTGTCCCCATGGACTGTGCTGTAAAAGAGAGAATGAGGCATATCAAGCATCTTGCAAAGAAAGGTTCTTCAGTGAACAGGAACATGGAGGTATGTGTTGTCCAAAGTTCTCTCCTTTACTCTGACATAACTAGCTTCTTCATGCCAATACCCCACATAGTGTCCAAACTCCTGTCCCTTCCTATCTTCCTAAGGTGTGTTGCCCTTTGTTAACTGTGTTAACAACTTTTGTCGCTCACATCAATGAACATGCTCGATGGTGCCAATCTAAAACCAAACAAGCAAACAAAACTTGTCTCTTAGGCTTCCCTGTTGGCGTAGGGGTTAACTCTCAGTGCTGTCACCACTATGGCCTGAATTCAATCCCAGCCAGGTTGCTAGCCCACATAAGGCAGAGCAGACCTCTCCTGTCTTCCTGGCTGACCCCTACGCAGTGTTTTTCAGTAAATCTAACTGTCTGCTCCCCACTCTGTCTGTGGTGAATCCTCTCACCCACCCCACACCTCTAGCCTACACCCCAGCTCTTGAATGCATAAATAAATGAAATAAATATTTTTTTTTAAAGAAAGACATCTGACTTCTCCACTTGAAAATACTTGATGACTTCACTTTGCCTTTGTCTAAAAGATGCATTTCAAGCTTTTAGCATTGCATACAAGGCCTTCAAAGATCTCAGCGCTGCCTGCTTTCTATCCCCATTTATCATTTCTTCCATCCCCTTTTTTCATCTTCTGCTTCAATAATCCTAAACTGCTTGTTATGCCCATAGAATTTGTACCTGTGACTATGTCACTCTGTTAGTATGGATTCATCAAGGGTCCTCACATTTTGTATGACCATTTTTGTATCTCTCTCTCCTGAGTCTTGTCTTCATCTCTGTATTCAGGGCTTTTTTTTTTCTGTAGCCCTGACTCCATGGTGATTCATCTTGCTTAGCTGAGTGGTAGGCATTACAAACCATCTATATATATCTGCTGCCATCCACCTTGATTTCTAAGCATTATAACAGAACTTTCACCCCTCAACTTTTGGAGTTTTTTTTTTTGTTTTTTTTTTTTTTGACATATAAATTTATGTTCTGATTTAACCCAACTAAGATATATGAACTATTTTTCTTTTGATTTTTTTTACCCCCTCTATAGTTCCAATTGCTCGAGCTGTACTTGTTGACATGGAACCTAAAGTTATCAACCAAACACTATCAAAAGCTGCCCACTCTGACCGATGGAAATATGATCAACATTCATGCTTCTGTCAAAAGCAAGGTTCTGGAAATAACTGGGCATATGGGTAAGAATGATTCCTCATTTTTATTTCAGATACAGAAGCACAATCATTTTATAGCCTAGTTACAACTTGATATCCCAAGCGTGAAATGTTGAAATTGCTGTTTTAGAATTTAGAGTGTGAGTTCACCCAGAAGAATTCTCAACCGTCTTTCAGTTCTGTGTAACGATGGGACCAAGAAACTCTTGCATCAGGGTTTTCTTTTTTCACTGTCATGGTGCCAACTGACTTACTCACCAAACAATACCTTTATCTGGCAGGTATTCCAACTCATAGAGAATATGACAAGGCAGTAGTGTATCCAACGGTTCTTTGGCAAATTCTAGGGTTTGCTTCCAGAAATTCTGATTTAATTTGTTTGGAATGTTGGGACTTTTCAAAGCTTTCCCAAGTGATTCTTACATGACATAAGTTGAAGAACTTTTGCTGTAGGGTTATAGACTATTATGTTAGACCATAAACTTGCATAACTCCCTGTTAATTGAAGTCTTCAGCTAAAGTAGCTGGTGAAAGAGACTTTTGTGTACCTGGTAAATTCACTCTCCTAGGCCTACTCACCTGTTAAATATATTTAACTGCATAATTTAAATTTCATCAATCAGGGTACCTTTACCATTCATGAGAGTTAGTTCATTTCCTTAGCTTTATTTTTAAAAGTTCTTTCTTTAAAAAAACATTTATTTATTTATGCATACAAGAGCTGGGGTGTAGGCCAGAGTACAGGGAGTGAGAGGATTCTCCAGAGACAGAGTGGGTTGCAGAACAAGTGGATCTGTAGAAATACATAGCTGAGTGGGTGACATGGGAGAGGTCTGCTGAGACGTGCAGTGGCTCAGCTCCCTGGCCTGTGACCCAACTCATGCTGCAGGTGGCTGGTAATAGCTTGATAGCCCTGAGACTTAACCCCTATGCCACCAAGGACTCCCACTTCCTTAGTTTTAAAAAGCCTTCACTAGCCTATGTCTTTCTTTCTGCATTGCATCTCTCTATTTAAATTGAAAGGTGTTTATATGTTTTTTTCTTTTGCATCACATAGTTACTCTGTTCACGGACCCAGACATGAAGAATCTATAATGAACCTAATCCAGAAGGAAGCAGAAAAATGTGATTCGTTGAGTGGATTTTTCATCATAATGAGTATGGCTGGGGGCACAGGGTCAGGACTAGGAACCTTTATTACACAGAGTTTACAAGATCAGTTCTCAGACTCTTTGAAAATGAATCAGATCATATGGCCCTATGGAACTGGTGAGGTATGAATATCTTTATTGGTAACTATATATTTGGCATTTATCTTTGCAGTGAAGTGTGGGTAAAAGACTGAGCTTACCCTTTGTTTAAAATGTTAAGCTATTGCTTCAAGAGTCTTTATATAATAGGCTACTTTCATGAACAACTCATTGAACTTTACTATTCCAAACAAATGAGGAGTCCTTGTTTTTAAAATTTCAAAATAAACAAATGTACATATTGTCTTAGAAAACCATTCCTGGTTTTATTTCTTTTGTCTATATGTAAAGTAGGGCCCTTGACATTGCTCCAGGTGCCATGTCAATCTTCAAAGAATTTTCATTTCTTTCTATTGAGAGGAAATTTCTATACAACCCAATTTCCTGTCTATCAGCCAACTAAGAGGAATAATAAATGCAAGTGAAATAAATCACTACAGAAAATGTGGGAAGAAAGCATGATAGTTGATGTTTACTGGGCCCCTAATATATACAAGTTACTGTTTTAAGTGCTTTACTTGCATTCTATCATTAATCCTTACAACACAGAGGCTGATGTAATTCTTATCCACATTTTACATATTAGGAACTGAGGCCTAAAGAAGTTCAATAACTTGTCAGAAATCATATACAGAAAAAGTGACAGCCAGGATTAGAACTTAGACAAGACGCCTTTGAACCTACCCTCTTAAGAGACCGCTCTTCTTTCCTGCCTTTTTTATTCCTGATCTTTCATTTTCCAGGTTATTGTACAGAACTACAACTCCATTTTGACTCTTTCTCACTTGTACCGATCTTCAGACGCCCTCCTTATTCATGAGAACGATGCTATTCATAAGATCTGTGCAAAACTGATGAATATCAAGCAGATCTCCTTTAGTGATATAAATCGAATACTCGCACATCAACTGGGAAGTGTGTTCCAGCCTACTTATTCTGAAGAAGGCTCCCGTTACTACAGGAGGAATCCATTAGGTATTTGTCCCCTGCATGTTATTTGTATCAAAGTCTCTTGTGCAGAAAGCCTCAAAGGTACTTTTTGCTGACTTCTCTCCTCTGCCTGACGATAGAGTTGGTCTCCATCACAAAAGCCTTACTGAAGAGCTGCTTAGCTCTCTTATTAACAAATAACTATGTAGTTAACTCAGTATGTGGTAACATACTGAGACATTGCTACATTTCTCAAAAGAGTAATGGATATCTACTCACTCCATTCTTCATGATCCTTGGTTTTTTTGGGAACAAATGAGGAAACTGAGGCAAGAACGCTTAAGATGAGAGTAACTGAACAAGAAAGCTGTAATAGCAGAATGTGACAACAATTTGTGCATTCGGGTTTAGGAATTATTTGCTGGCTTTTGTTTGTTATGCATGGTATGCAACAGAACCCAGCTCTCCTTTTACAGAAGAGGATGCTTGTGTTTAGAGGAAATTCCACCAGTCATAAAGTCATTTGTGCGATGTTTTATAGATATTTGTGTCAAAATTTGATGTTTTCATTAAGATGTAGGATAAGTTTGCATTCATTGTTGATATACATTTCATATTATGTTAATATGATTTTCTCTCTCCTAGATACCTTCTATAAATATATAAAACAGCTCTGAATATAAAACAAAGTAGCCTTTCTCCTAGATTCTATTTCATTATAAATACAAGTTTTTGGGCCCTTCCTGGTGGTACAAAGGGCTAAAGCACAGCAGTGTGAAGCTACCAAAGCCAGGGAGCTGACCCACATGGCTGGCAGACCTCTCTTGAACCTGCTGCTCCTTTTAGCAGTGTATTTCAGTACATTTGCCTGTCCCCCACTCTATCTCTGGTGAATCCTCTCACCCCATTGCACCTCTGGCCTATACCCCAGTTCTTTATGCATAAATAAATAAATCTTTAAAGGAAAAGTTTCTTAAGATAGATATGTTTCTATCTTCAGGAATTATTAATCATGTCTTTTTTTTTTTTAAGAGTTATTTTTTAGGGCCTCCCTGGTAGAACAGGGGTTAAAGCAGTGCTATCAAGTGATTGGCAGCCATAAGTTCATTCCCTGCTCAGAGAGCTAACCCACATGACACAGCAGTAGGAAGCCCGCTGCTCTTCTCAGCAGTTTATTTCAGTAGATATGACTGTTCTGCCTCCGCCCCTACCCATCTCTGGTGAATCCTCTCATTCCCTGCACCTCAGGCTTAGATCCCAGTTCTTGTATACATAAATAAATACATTTTTTTAAAGATTTTATTTACTTATTTATTTTGTAAAGGAAATGGGATGTAGGCCAGAGGTGCAGGGGATGAGAGAACTCACCAGACACACAGTGGGGAGCAGAACAGGAAGATCTACTGAAATACACTGCTGAGGGAAGCAGCAGGTGAGACAGGAGAGGTCTGCTGGGCCATGTGGGTCAGCTCCCTGGCAGGGGATCGAACTGGTGCCTCAGTGGCTGCTGATAGTTTGATAACACTGAGACTTTAACCCCTGCACCACCAGGGAGGTCCACTAATCATGTCTTTTGCCCTAGTAGAATTTGATGTCCACACAAATAACATTTAACCACATTAGTAGGAGAAATGATGATATTTTCTAATGGAATAGTGAACACACAGTGACAATAAAATATTAGTTCTGATGGTGATGGCACACGGGTGACTCGGTGATGGGAAATCCTTGGGGATTACAATTGAGATTTAAAAAAATGTACAAAATGATGTAAAAATAAACTTATATTACTAAAAAAAACAAAACAAAACAAAATTAGCTATGATACTTACATTATTTTCTGTAGCTTACCTAACTTTTTTCATATTCCAGTTCCTTAGCTGCTTAACTCTTGTTTCCATTTTGGCAAAGAAACTGTTTGTCACTCATTTCAAATAGATGCCAAAATGAAGCAAATATGGGTCTGTAGTAGGTAGTTTCTGAAATCGTATGTATTTTGTAAGGTTTAAACACTTCTGACCTTGGAGAAGACATTTGGCCCCCCCAAAATCATCAAGTCATGGTTGTATAGAGACCATTGCAAACAATGGAGAATTTTAAAATCTAGTTTGGATTTTTTCCTTTACAGGAGACTTAATGGAGAATTTAGTTCCTCATCCTGAATTCAAGATGCTGAGTGTTCGAAACATTCCTCAAATGTCTGAGAACTCCCTGGCATATAGCACGTTTACTTGGGCTGGCCTCCTCAAGCACTTGAGACAGATGCTCATTTCTAATGCGAAAATGGAAGAAGGTAAAGAGTATTTTAAAAATATGCAACCCACAGCTGGAAAAATGCCTGTGCCAGAGTTCTCAATATAAACTTCTGGTGTTGGTTGAAATAATGGTCCCTTCTTCTGGCCAGGGAGGCTCCTGCAAAAACTTACCAGCACCTCCTAGGAGAGCTTCTCAGTCATTCAAGTTTTGTTTCCCAGAAATAGCTCAAACGAGTGAGATATTTTACTTCTTTTTCTGTCAGAGTAATATATGAACATAGTTTTTAAAAAATCAAGTAGTTGAAATTCATTTAAGTGTATATTTAAACTTATAATTTACATTGTATATAAATGATATCTCACTGGGGAAGAAGTTGTCCAAGATGACTTTATAGTGAGGAAAAGCACAGCCCAGTATCCCTCACTTCCCTACTCTCCACTTGAAACTCTTTTCTGTTTTTAGCAGATTCATTTGGAATTGCCTCCATATTTCTAAATATCTTGCTTATACTTTGTTTTATTTGCCTGGTTTAGGTATTATCAATTATCTTAATAATGTGAAAATTGAGAACTGAGTCTGTGGGTGGGGGAAGTGTGTGTGTTTAGAACTGGGGTGTTGACCAGAGGTGTGGGGGCTGAAAAAATTCACAGTGGGGAGCAGAACAGTCAGATCACTGAAATACACTGCTGAGGGGAGCAGCAGATGAGGCAGGAGATGTCTGCTGCGCCATGTGGGTTGTCAGCTCCCTGCTCCAGGATGGAACTCAGGCCATAGTAGTGACAGTGCTGAGACTTAGGTCACCAGGGAGGCCTGAAAATTGAATCTTCTCATATCCCTTTAATATATGCTTACACACCCCTCTTTCCTTTCTTCCAGTGTAGTTATGCTTTGGGTCAGATCAGCTTTCAGTACTTAACATATACTGTACATGCAGATTACATTTAAAATTTTCCTCCTAGAATTAGCAATATATATTTGTTCCCTATTCTATGAACCTATTACTATTCTGTCCCTAAATTCTTCCATAATATGAATTCCATCTCAATATATTCAACCCCAGACAGTGGCACAGCACATAGTTTAGCTGAGGCCAGGGCCTCACTGGTTTAGCCTTTCCTGAGCAGAAAGCACTTCTGGGACAATGGGGGGCACTTCCCTACTGTAAGGAGTAAGAAGGGTCTGGAGTTCTCACTGCTTGTCATGCAGCGTGATTTTTAACTAATCCTGTTTCTTCTAACTTTGGAAGTAGTCTACTAGAACCTCCATATGGAGGTTCAGCTTTTCCTGGTTGCTAAGTCATAACCACTGGTTCATTTGATTTCCGCCTTCCAAAATTTTGTTGCCATGCCTTTTTTCCCCATTCCTTTTCTTTTCTTGTCTATGCTTATAAAACAAACAAAAACAAAAACATCCTATCTTGTGAGATTTGGGGAGAGAGTGGCAAACAGTATGTTCAAGCTGTCATGTTTAACTGGTAGCATGTACTGCACCACAAATGACAATATCTTAGGTTTAAATTCTATAAAAGTGGATTTCCTCTACATTTATCTGTAATACCTATAGCTTTTCTTTCACAGTGCCGGAGGTTTGAAGATTAAAATAGAAAGTTCACATCCCAAAGTAAAGCTTCCTAATTTTTGTGGCCACAATACCTGTTTTTCTAGCAATACCTATTAACGCCTACCTCCAAGAACACAATGTTTCTTACACTTAGGGTAGTGTAAGACAAAGTGCTGCTCTGAGCTCTCTTAGGACAATAAACCTCAATTTGCTTAGTCATTTTCCATGTAGGACTTGAGAGTGTCAGCTTTGTTCACAGTTACAGATAAAGTTTTTTGTTTTCACATATATTAATATGTGAATAAACATATTTATATCTCTAGCCTAGTTGGAAGATACAGTTTTAAAACTCGGGCTCTCCCTGGTGGCACAGTGGGTTAAAGCACCACATTATGAAGCTCTCTGAAGCCACTGTGGCACAATTTCAATCCCCAGCCTGGGAGCTGACTCACATGGCATGACAGCCCGCTTGTACCTGCCCGCTGCTCCTCTCAGCAGTGTACTTCATCAGTCTGCTTGTTCTGCTCCCCACTGTCTCTGATGAATCCTCTTACCCACCACACCTCTGGCCTGTACCTCAGTTCTAGAAGCATAAATAAACCTTTGGGGAAAAAAAACTCTTCATGTTACATGACCGTTCTCTATGAAGAGTGACATTAATGTCACCATTAGCAATGTATCTGTTTATGTTGTCTTAGCAACTGTAAGAATGAGTGATCTAAGAAGAAACAAGGCAGAAGTCACAGTCACTTTAATGACCAGCTCTGGAGGTCACACACCATCCTTTTGGTTACTGAGGTTAGACTTGTTGCATTTGAGATGGGGCTACACGAGAGCATGAGTCTTAGGAGGAAAGGGTCAGTGGTGTTCATCTTGGTAGCTGGCTGTTACCTCTGCACTCTGTCAACTAATGAATCCACTCCTCTAATATGCAGGATGTACTCACATTCTCCCAAAGCCCCAAAACTTCTTTCCCATTAGCACATCAGTCCAAAGTTTAGAATCTTGTCAATTAAAAGTAGGGGTAGGTGTGAATTTATACTCTTCAGATAAGGTTTCTTGTGGAATAGCTCTCTGAATACAGTTCCTTGCACACGTGTGTGCACACACACACACAAACAACAGACCATGGTAGAAGGTATAGACACTTTCTTTCAAGGCACACAGGAATTATTCATTGATCCATAAAAATTAAGCAAGTGGGCCTCCCTGGTGCCACAGGGGTTAAAGCCTCAGCACTGTTAAGCTATTACCAGCCACTGTGACTGGAGTTTGATCCCCAGCCAAGGAGCTGACCCACATGGCAGTAGTCTTACCTTCTGCTCCCTTGAGCAGTGTGTTTCAGTCAGCCCACTGTGTCTCTGGAGAATCCTCTCACCCTCCACCCCACACCTCTGGCCTGCACCCCAGTTCTTATATGCATACATAAAAACAATAATAAATCTTTTAAAAAATTTCAGGCACATGCTAGCAGGTTCTTGATTAGAATGGTAAGGCCTGCCAACCATTTTCCATGACTTTTGACTTAGCCCTCTGACTCAAACTAACTTACAATCTTCATTTTTTAAGTTTTATTTAAAACATTTTATCTTAAAATTTTACTAGTTGTTTTATTTTTGCTAGTTGGGATTAATTTGTGCATGTGAGAATTAGAGAGCATTCTGGGGGAGTATACAACAGAATTCTCAAGACTTTAAACTGGCATCACATCATATGTATTTTTTTGTTCCACAACTTTTTTCTGCATAATGTTTTCTGACTCTCTTCCCAATTAAGTACATTTAGACATACCTTATATTTATATAATAGCTAATTATTTTCCAGTATGTATGTGCCATCATTTAGTATATCTACATAGATTAAAGCATCAAATAGTTCTCCAAAGCTGGCAGTTAAAACTGTCAGCACATAACCTTCCTTTATTTTCTTCTTCCCAGAAGGAATCATTTTGCAAGACACTTTTGCTGGTTCTTTTACTATTTTCACGTAGTCATTGCCATTTACTGACTTGTCAGTTATTTAGGTATATCCTATTTACTTACCCTGTGGAAGGTTAGGACATAGCTTTTTCTCCACACTGGCCACTGAGCCCTGTTGACATTCTTTTGTCTTCTCATCCTTCAAATAGAGTAATATCATTGGGTTGAAGAGATACCAGCTTCACATGGTCATGACCTAGTTAATGCTGTCCACAACTAGGCCATGTCGTGTTAGAATCCTGGGGTAACTTTCCAGTATAATGTTTAAATTCTCTTTAAGAGCTCGTAATTGCTTGCATTTTTTGTTTGCTTAGTTATCTGTGTGCCGTTTTCAATTAATGCAACCATAAGTATTTCTCTACCTGTCCAGATTTTTTTCTTTTTTCTAAAAAGATTTATTTATTTATACATAAACAACTCGGGTACAGGCCAGAGGTATGGGAGGTGAGGGGATTCACGAGAGACCAAGTGGGGAACAGAACAGGTGGATCTATTGAAATACACTGCTGAGGGGAGCAGTGGATGAGACAGGAGAGGTCTGCCACACCATGTGGGTCAGCTCCCTGCTGGAGACTGAACTTGTGACACAACAGCTGCAGATAGCTACTGAGGTTTAACCCTTTGTGCCAACAGGGAGGGGCCCCGCATTTTTTTCTTGATAGATTCCGTTCTTCTATGAATTTCATTCTGTTTGAGTACTCTGACATGCTTAAATCTAGATTTCCACCTTTGCCCTCTTTATAGCCTTCTACAGCTAGTATTCATTTATCTATCTTCAGTGATAGGTAGACAAAGTCTTAGTGATTTCAGGGAGCAAAATTCAGGAGTCATAATTTTCATGGTTTTTACTTGCTATCTGGGTTTAGTATATACCCTGCCTCAACTCTTAATCATATATGTTCTCTCCAGAAATTAAAACTTTCCTTTTCTGCTAGGGTAGGAAAGAAGCAGTTGTCATCAGAAACAAAGTTTAGCAACATTCCTTAAACAGTCAAATGGAGATGTGCTCTACAGATTACAAATCCAGTTTAAGAGCCAATGATTTAATGTTTTAATGATTTCCTTAACGAATGCCGCAGCACGTGTTCTGGAGGCACAGAGAAAAATGATGTGTGAGAAAACAGGTAGCATTAATAATGAATCATTAAGTGATTAAGTTTATGAATGTGAAAACATTTTAGGAAAACCTAAATAAAATTTTTTGTTAAATATTGATTTTTTTGTGTGTGTTCAAGAATGATATGTGGGACCTCCCTGGTGGTACAACAGGTTAAAGCACAGCACTTTGAAATTAGCCACAGACACTGCAGTACTGAGTTTGATCCCCAGCTAGGGAGCTGACCCACATGGTGTGGCAGACCTCCCCTGACCTACCCACTGTTCCTCCCAGCAGGGCAATTCTGCTCCCCACTCTGTCTCTGGTGAGTCCTCTCACCCTCATACCTCTGGCCTGTACCCCAGTTCTTGTATGCATAAATAAATAACTCTTAAAAAAAATTGTTTGCAACCAATGTGAAAAACTGGGTGTAGGTCAGAGTTGCAGGAAAAAAATGAGCAGATCCCTGGCAGGGGATCAAGCTCAGGCCATGGCAGTGACTGTGCTGAGACTTGACCCCTAAGCCACCAGGGAATCCCCCCACAACCCCTTTGTAGTCAAGTGTCTCCTCTACCTTTATCTTGTAGCAACTACTGGTCGGCATTTTGTCCCTACAGTTTTGCTGGGTTCCATCCCCAGTCAGGGAGCGGATCCACTTTCGGCAGAGAAGGCCACACCTCTGTCTCCCGCTGTTCCCTCAGCAGTGTATTTCAGTCAGTCGGCCTGTTCTGCACCCCTCAGTCTCTGGTGATTCCTCTCACACCCCTATATCTCAGTTCTTCTACTAAATAAAAATTGGCTTTGGATCATTTCAGGTGAACCAGGTACTTAAGACTAAGTGGGTAAAGAAAACTATGCATCAAAGGGAAATTGATGTAAAATACACATACCATAATACATTTTTCTCTTCATTTATAAAATCTCTTTTTTTCATTTGGTAGGTATTGATTGGCACGTTCGGCCTCCTTTATCAGGACTTCCTACTCTTAGTAAAATGGCTATCAACAAGGAACTTCGTTTTAACACTTCCATTGCTAACTTGGTCATCCTTCGTGGGAGAGACGTGCACAGTGCAGATCTGGGTAAGCAGAAGTTCAGGTGAAAAGTAAAATGTACATTTTGCATATAGTACATATGGTTAAAGAAAGGTTTCTGAATTGATTCTTAGCGAAAGAAAAATAAAACTGTGATTTAATATCAAAAAGTAACCATTCTATCAGTTAGTATGTGACCAGACACAAATAGAAGTGGTTTAAACAAGATAAAAGGTTTTTTTCCTTGATCTGATTGTTCCATCATCCTCACCTGTGACTTCCTCCTGAGAGTGCTAGACGTCTTTTTCAAGCTTCAGTTGTCCTATCATATAGAAATGTGTCAAGGACATACCTCCTCAGGTCCCACAGCATATTTGTGCTAGCCATTGGCTGGGTGGACTTTTGTGCCACACCAGCTGCCTGAGTGGCAGTGAGCACAGCTAAAATTGAGGGGTTCTGTTCCAAAGAAGATGAAGCCAGGTATTTCAGGACTAGTGGAGTCTGTGACATGTATTTGGGTGGTGGTAGCATTTCAGTTCAGATGACATATCACAGAACGTTTCTGAATGGTCTGATTTTTTTTTTTTTTACTGTAAATATGAATTGCTTTCTCAAAAGCAACAGAAAGTATTAAAAGATTTCTGGGGAGAGGGACATGGAAGTACCTGTTTCTTAATTTGTTTCCCAAATTAAAATTCATGTTGTAAAGAATGGTTTATGTTGTTTTACTCTAGGGGGATTTAAAGATCCAGCTCTCTATACTTCCTGGTTAAAGCCTGTCGATGCGTTCAGTGTATGGAGAACCCAGCGAGCCTTTAGCAAATATGAGAAGTCTGCAGCATTAGTGAGCAATAGTCAGTTCTTAGCAAAACCACTCGACATGATTGTGGACAAAGCATGGAATATGTTTGCTTCAAAGTAAGTAAAACTCTGTAAACCTTAGTAACTTTAGGAGATGATACTATGCTAAGGCAAGACAGGATCTGGAGTGTCTTAGTTTGTTTGGGCTGTTATAACAAGAGTGGCATAGACTGGGTGGCTCATAAACAAAAATCTCTCATGGTTCTGGAGGCTGGAAAGTCCAAGGTCAAGGTGTTGGCATATTTGAGGTCTGGCAAGCACCCACCCACATCTTGGCTCACAGGAGACTTCTCTTCCTCAGTTGGTCAACGAGGCAAGGGCGTTAACATGAGCCCATTTTGGGCCTCCCTGGTGGGTCGAACTCCTGTTGCAGTGACTGCAAACAGCTTCAGAGTGCTGCAACCCATCCCCCTGTGCCACCGGGGAAATCCAGTAGTTCAGAAATGTTTTATCAGATTTTTGAAATGTACAATGACTTCAGGCCAAACAAAGTCCCTCAAAGTAGCTGAACAGCCCCTCTACTTTGGCTCGCTGGGGTTCCCAAAGCCTTTCCTGGCCAGTCTTGCATGTGGCCATTTCTGAAGCCTCCATGTCTCAAGACCTCTCTAGTCTCAGGTCCCTCATATGCTATTTTTTTCTATTTCTTTTCCTTCCTGCTGTCATTAAATGGTGACAGTCATTATCATGTCAGGTTAATTTGTCTTCCCTTGATGTTTTTTTAACACAACTTCATCTACCTCAAAACATTTGGGGAGTACAGGCTCTTAGTCCACCTGACCTAGCTGCAAATTAAATGCCTGAAAACACTTGGGAAGCAAGCTTCACTTAATTCCTAGATTAATATATCGCAATGATTTAAGCCTCTGGAACTTTTTAGAGTTTATATAGAATTCCTCTGGGTATTAAATATGTGCTCAGTAGACAGCCAAATCGGAACATGCTACTTTGTCCTGTGGGTCTTTCATTATCATTCTCATAGACACTAAAAAAATAGGGAGCTGGAACTACATTTCCAAAGTTTTTCTAATCTTTGGAGTAAACACTGAAGGAAATTGAAACTTAGGAGAAAGTCTGCCACTTTCAAATGTTCATGAGCTAAGAAAGTATTTATTGTTTAAGTTTAAAAGTCATTCATTTGTATGAGATTGGTTATTTCTCATTTCATTTTTCTCTCACAGGGCCTACATTCATCAATACACAAAATTTGGAATTGAAGAAGAGGATTTTTTGGACAGTTTCACATTGTTAGAACAGGTCATTGCCAGTTACTACAACCTCTAATCCTGAACCAAGCAGAAAACTGCTTTCAACTTTTGGACTAAAGTATTTACACTACTACTTTTCTGTAAAAATTTCAAAGTCCTAAAAATAACCAAGTCAGGTGCCGGTTTCTCCTGCAAACTATACCCACAAAAATGGAGAACCTTTTACATGGAGAATAGCATGTTTTCAATGAAATCATCTACTTTATATTTTTGTATGTAAGAAAAATTGGTGCTTCTATATACAGAACTTTGGAAACACTTTACTGACATGATGGAACTCTAGAACTACCTAAACATTGGAAAATTCTGTTTTGTCTTTGCATGTTCCTAAATCTCGCTTTATCCCAAAAAAGGATATTTAAATGTATTCATCTTTGAAGTGAATGCTTTGAGCCACCAGAGGGAGCTGTTATCAAATGCTACAATGTGAACATCTATTTTGAGTATTTTACAAGTGTAATAGTTTCCACTTTAATCAACTGTTTCAAAAATAATATCAGAGCCCTACCTGGGGGCCTGGAGGGTTAAGTATCAGCGCATCCATCACAGTGGCCTACTACAGTGGCCTGAGTTCCATCCCACAGGGTGCACTGATTGAACTAGTGTTTAAAAATTACTTTTAGGCGTTTAACTGTTGTAGAAGATAGCTATATATGCTTCAGCAAAAGGGGTGAAAGCTTTCACCCCAATTTCACCAACATGAGAAAATTACACCAAGGAAATACTGTATGTACATCATGAAGTTGATACAGTGTCGGTTTCACACAGGACAAAACACTTGAAAATTGGCAACTGAATGTGAGGGGATTGGCATACTTCAGTAAGCCACATGTGTTGTTATATTAAATGTAAAATGGGAAACAAATAGGAAAGTTTGCTTTCTGCCAAATCTACCAGTGGTGATTTATTTTTATATGGAAAAATGACAGTTCAATTTCACTGGTTTCTTCCTTTTCTTTGCATATGGTAATGATTACCTTTTTACTGTTTTTCTTATCAACTGTTGCTATGATTTAAAATACTGAACCATATCTTATTTCCAAGGAATGTAAAAAGTGGTCTGTTCAGCTTTTAAAAGGCACACCCCACCGTTGTATTTTGTTAACCCAAGTATACTTCAAAAATAATTAGATAATAATTTTAAAATAAATCTTTATAAAAAAGTTTTAAAAACTAGTTTAAAAGTAATTATTCTGCACTAAGGAAACTAAAGTAATTTCCCCAAACTAAATCAGCATTAATGTGATGATCTGTAACTGAATCATCACAGTAGGGGCTAGATTGATTCTGAAGAACCTTACTAGAAGTTAATCTTAAAGTCTTAAATTGAATTAATTTTATATTTGAGAAAGGAATTCATGAGGTAGCAATGGGTACAAACATATTTATCATTAGCAACTGATAGAATCCATGGAGACACAAACTAGAAATAAAGAGCACTCTGGTGTATTCATTTGTGCAAGTTGACACTTCTTTTATGATCCACAATTGCATTATTTTATATGTGTGGATTCTTAACTATTTGCAAACCAAGTATATTTTTTTAAGATTTATTTATTTATTCATACAGAACTGACAAGCCAGAGGTGCAGGGGCAGTGAGAGGCTTCACCAGAAACAGAGTGGGGAGCAGAACAGGCAGACCGACAAAGTATACTGTTGAGGGGAGCAGCAGGCTGGTCAGGAGAGGTCTGTGGAGGATCAGGAGAGGTCTGTCGAGGATCACCTCCGGGACTGGGGATCGAACTTACACTGAAGCAGCTGTAGCCAGCTCAGAGGTGGCGAGAGGCTTCACCAGAGACAGAGTGGGGAGTAGAACAGGCAGATCTACGAATGAAGCACCCTGCTGAGGGGAGCAGAGGGCGGGTCTGGAGAGGTCTGCCACGCCATGTGGTCACCTCAGGGGCGGGCAGGGATCGAACTCATCCGGAAGTGGCTTTAGCTTCTCAGTGCTGTGCTTTAACTCACTGCGCCACCAGGGAGGGCCCAAGACCAATTATCTTTAACAAATTACATGGGAGGGTTTTTGCTGTCTATTCCAAATAATATAAAATTTTTGCAATTGTGGCTGTGATTTGTTAAGTTAAAAGTTAAAGTTAGTAAAAGTTATGTGAGCTTCAGCAGCTCATTAAGGATACAAAAAAAAAAAAAAAGAAATAGCACTGCAGTACAAGATTATTTAAGATCAGGTGGTTATCACTGAAATCAACATGCATGTATGCTACATTTAGTCCAGTGCTAAAAGTGCATATTTATACTTCACAAAACTAAATAAAATAACCACAGTTTTATGAAAAAAAAAAAGTTAAAGTTAATGCCAAATTTTCAAGACAAAGGGTGGCATTGGAAATGCACTCTAACTTGAAAGTAGAGAAAATGGCCAGTCAGGACAACAGAATCATCATTTCCTGGGCATATTAATTCAGAAGATTTGAATATGAAATTTCTTAGATTACTAGGTAAGGAACCCTCCCTGGTGGTGCAACAGGTTAAAGCACAACACTAGGAAATCTAACCTAGCCACTGCCACTTCAATGTCCGATCCCTGTCCAGGGAGGTGACCCACATGGGGCAGCAGACCTCCTGTCTCTCCTGCTGCTCCCCTCAGCAGTGTACTTTGTCA